TAAGACTACTTATGGAAATTACAACTAAAATTTTCTTTTCTTTGATTCAATGGCACTAAAAATACATCTATCCTTAAAATTCTCAATTTGGAAGATAATAGAATGTTTATACAGATTCCTATAAATATTCAATATTTTTGGTGGTTTTAAGACTTAAGTTTTGGGTTTTTTTGTGTGTGTTTTTTTTAAGACTTTGACGTAATCATAGGCAGCCTGGGTAATTTCCATTTCAGATGAAATTTAAATGTATATCATGTACATTGAAGACAAATACTTAAATTATTTAAGAAGAAGGAGAAAAACAGTTGCTATTAATTTCTTTTAAGCTTTCTCCTTTGAAATGAAAAATGCTCCTAAAACAATTGTGCTTTAGGTCAATTGCTGTTTTATGGTTTTCTTCACATTCTACATCACCTACTTTGTGGAGTTCAAGATTGAAATAAATGTGGAGAATATCTTAGTCTTTTACTGCTTTGTGGAGTGAATTGTATATTTGGACAGGTGTTCTTAATTTGGGCTCCATTGACACCTAGGGGTTCTAGGGAAGGGATTTGGGGGGTTCATGAACTCCCTGAAATTGTATGCAAGGTATCATGTGTTTGTGCATATATAAATTTTTATAGGAAGAAAATCCATGTCCTTCTTACATCCACAAAAAGTTCAGAACTACTGCACTGTAGAACGATCTTCAACATTTCTTCCTAGAGGTCCTCCAGTTTAGTCTACGTGATATTAATCACTTAGTACACATCTGCTGAGTTACAATCAACAGACACAGTCTCTGGCTGGCTTTAGTGTAATGTGAATTTATTGTAAACACATGAAATAGATCAAAAAGCTTAAAGGTAATGAAGAACCAAATTTGGAAGAAGCTTGAACTGGGGCAGAGTCAAGGCTCCAAGTGGAGGAAGTTAATTGGTAGTTTTATCAGATAGGACCTGCTAAGAATAACCAGCAGCAAAATTTTACCCTTTTGTTAAATTCGAAAGATTCCACATTCAAGAAGAGAGTTCAGTTGTCTTATCCCTTGGTTTTCAAAGACATGGCATCTTTTTTTAAAATATATATATATTTTATTGATTTTTTACAGAGAGGAAGGGAGAAGGATAGAGAGTTAGAAACATCGATCAGCTGCCTCCTGTACACCTCCCACTGGGGATGTGCCCGCAACCCAGGTACATGCCCCTGACCGGAATCGAACCCCTGGGACTCCACTCCGCAGGCCGACGCTCTATCCACTGAGCCAAACTGGTTAGGGCTCCCAAAAAATTATTTTCTAAACCCTAATACAAAATTCCCCACTTTATATCCTGAGTTTATGTTTGAGTTTCAGATAATTTTGTCTATTACCTTTCCACAGGTAAAAAGAACCCATTTTTTCTTACTTGCCATCACATTTCCAGCAAAGAGCCAAAATAAAATGACAACCAATCAATGAAATAAATTCTGCTGCTGGAAATCCCACTAGACAGGGATTCTAACTTGCTTATTTTCCATTTTATCCCTAGAATATAACATAGAACTGGGCATATAATGGTTGCATAAAATATATTTGTTGAGTGAATAAGATGACACCATCCATATTAACAAAGCACCTTCTAATGCCAGAAAACATTAGGAATAGAAGATATGTTTTCATAATTCCCATAATTGTGGATATTTTTATTATCATCCTCATTTTATATTCAAAAAAGAGTACCATCATTTCAATTTTTACTGAGGTCTGTCAGATTCCAAAGCTGCAACATGCTAGATCATGTTGACTCAAGCAATTTCTAGTAAGTGCTTATTTTTCTCCAACTACTCAGTATCCACTGCAAAAAATGTCTAGAGTTTTACAATGCACATTTTTTTTACATTTCTGAACTTTAGGAAGTATGTACATGATGAGCGTAGGTTTGTTTTGAAAGGCAGAAATCATATGCACTTCATTCACTTTGCATTGTAGGCTTTACATGCTTTCCTCTTGTCACATACAATGAAACCTTAATAAATAATATTGATGATGATGCACTTTTTATGTTAATCTGAAAGATGGAAGTACAGAGAAAAACCACTTTCTTAACAAGGGACACTTTATGGCAATCTGAATCTATTGTCTTTTCTAAAAAAAATATGTTCTAGTTGCTATGTGAATTCTACTTAAGGAATGTCATTTAAAAATTGAACACGAAGCTAGTGGTCTTGAGGTGGTGGTGGGGAAAGTACCTGCTAGGTTTTAGAAGCCTTGCTTCTAGTCTCATTTCCATTACTGACTAAATTTCCATGATTGACAATAATGTTTTGTTGCAATTTTCAGATTCTCTTTTAGTTGACAGAGAGGCTAGCGATAAAAAAAAACAAACAACAACAAAAAAAAAACTTTAGTTGACAGAGAGGCTAGCGATAAAAAAACAAAAAAAAAACAAAACTCTGATTTTGCTTCAAAACTCTGAATGGCTCAGGAATTGAAAACAAAGAAGCTTTTGAAGATAAATTGCTGTAACTCTCAGAAAGGAGGATTGGTTGAAAATTTGTATAATGAGGATTTAGATACCGACACCGCCTCTGCTACCCAGATCAACTGCCCTTCCCCAGTAGTCAGGGTATTTTTATTCTGAGGCATCAAGCAATGGAGGCAGGGCTGAGATGCTTAACTGAAAACAGATGATTTTTCTCTACACAAAAGATGAAACTCTATTTTACCACTCTGCTCCTCGAATGTTTGGGCCAGGGAAATACCTACAGAATAATTCTGGAGGATTTTCTGGGGTAATTCATTCACTTGGAGAACATCACATATATGGATATTTGAAAGAATGCAACCAAATACTAGATAATTTTCTATAGAGGAGCCTTCTGGTCAACAAGCTTTGCCTAGGCAAATGGTCAGCTTAATTTGTACTGTCTCACTAAGCACAACTATGGTTCACAGGAAATTGTATAGATACTTCTAATTTGAAAATCAGAGATAATGTAAAAAAAAGAAGAAAGAAAATAATAGAAGAGAAAAAGATTGAAAGAAATAATAAAACTTCAAAAATATCTTCAGGAAACCATGAACCAAAAACAGTATAGTATAGTAGTGGAAAATCAGAGAACAAAAATGAGTCCTTGAACATTTAAAAAATTATAATTAGAAGAGAGAAAAAATCACTAAAATAATTTAACAAATATTTTAGAAAATAAAAAGATGGAGATATGTGTTTCACTATTCCAAATAATCTAATAATATGACACATAAAAAGAATAAAGACTGGAGAAAGAGATAAGGAAAAGTTTCCACTTCTGAATGCCATGAGTTAAATTGAAGTGTCCCACTGACTATCTAACACAATAAATGAAAAACAAACAAACAAAACTATTATGACGTCACAGTAAAATTCCAAACCCTGGTAACAATAAGAAAAATTAAAACAATAAAAAACAGAAAAGAAAAACAGGGGCTAGGTGAGAATATGAAAAAATAATAATTCATCCTGGCTGGTGTTGCTCAGTTGGTTGGCCATCTTTCTATGCACAAAAAGGTTGCCAGTTAGATTCCCCATCAGGGCACATGCCTGAATGGCAGGCTCAATCCTGGTAGGGGGCATGCAGGAGGCAGCCTATAGAAGTTTCACTCTCACTGATATTTCTCTCTTTCTCCTTTTCCCTTCCTCTCTCTCTAAAAAAACAATAAAAATATTTTTTAAAAAACCCACAAAGATAATTTTAAAAAGAATTATAATTCTAAGCAGCAAATCTGGAAACCAAAAATACAATGGAGAAGCATCTTTGAAATTCTTAGGGAAAGTAATTTAAATCTATAGGGTTATTCACTAATTGAGTGTGAAGACAGAATGCAGACATGCAAATTATCCAAAGCAAAAAAATTGTGCTTTGATTACCAAGTTTTAATCCAAAGCTTCATTATGACCTTGCTCAAATTACTTAAACTCTGGTTCTGTTTCTCCTTACGTAAAATAAAGAAAACAAAAGTATGGATCTCTACTTTAGGGAAATAATTAAAGATATGATTAAATAAGTAATAAATATAGAAATTGACGTGTATGAACAACACAGGTTCTTACAATTCTGATGTTATTTGAAATTGTTTTCATACACAGTGCCAACCACCTGTCACCCTCCCTCAAATCAATACCCCAAACTTCTGAATCTGGATACATAGTTCTCCCCATGCTAATCACCAGTCCCACTTACATTGAGTTTAACATAAGACAGTTAAGGATAATGTTTCTCTTTGAATGTTCTTCACATGAACTGTAAGTAAAAACTCCCCTATATAGACCAGATGAGTCCCCTGAAAGTTTTCCAACTTCAGATACCAGATCAAAATAATGCTTACGCCTATATAACCACTTTGAAGTGCGTTTATTTCCTAAACTGTTTTTAATTTAGCTTTACTTATGACAAAATGTGGATAAAATAGACAGGAGCATACAAAACTTTGTTGACTGAAAAATTTTTAATGTTTTAATAGTTGTTCTCAAAATGAATCATACAATAATAGTTTGTGTAGATATTTTCCTTTTAGAAAAGTGAGTTTAAAAATGTCAGTTTTTGAGGATTCTTGCTCAATCCTCTTTACATTTTAAATATGTCAGTTAAACAAACAAACAAAAGGACACATGTATACACGAGTTTGTTTTCTTACCTATCTAATATCTCCTCCCTCCAACTAGGCTTTGAGTTTCTTGAAGCCAAATACTTTGTCTTATATTTCCTACTCTGAGACACATATTTTCATTTGTAGGTACTGAAAGAGCACCTATGAAATGAGTAAATAAAAGGTAAAAAAAATTGTTACTTTTATTTCCCAACCAATTATTCACTTTCCCTTATAATTTTAAACATATTTTATAATTTTAAACACATTCTGAAATTTTGTAGTACAATTTCTTACAAATGAATGTGTGGTCAATACTTACAAACATTATTTTGTACTTTGTAATTTTGTGTTCTAAGATTTTAGCTTTTTTTCTCATTAAATAATTTTTTTCAATTACAGTTTATAGTCAGTATTATTTTTATTAGTTTCAGGTGTACACCATAGTGGTTAGACAATCATATATTTTACCAAGTGTTCCCCCTCATATTTACAGTACCCACCTGGCACCATACATAGTTATTATAATACTAGTGACTATATTTCCTATGTTGTACTTTATATCCCCATGACTATTTTGTAACTACCAATCTTTACTTCTCAATCTCTTCACCTTTTTCACCCAGTCTCCCAACCCCCTCCACCCCCCAGGGCAATCCTCAGTTTGTTCTCTGTATCTATGAGTCTCTTTCTGTTTTGTTTGTTTGTTTATATTGTTCTTTAGATACCAAATATAAATGAAATCCTTTGTTTTTATCTGAGTTATTTCACTTAACATAATGCCCTCTAGGTCCATCCATGCTTTGTAAATGGTAAGACTTTGTTCTTTTTTTATAGCCAAGTAATATTCCATTGTATGTATGTACCACTGCTTTTTTGTCCATTCAACTATTGATGGGCACCCGGGTTGCTTCCATATTTTGGCTATTGTAACTAACACTGCAATTAACATAGGAATTCCAATTTTTAAAATTAAAATTGTCACAGGATAAATTTGACTATTAAAAATCTAAATTGATTAAACTTCAGGGAAACTATTTGGGCTGATCTTGCCACAGATTCTGTATTCATAGATTATATCATAACGTATTATTTTATTTTATTTTACCATCACCATTTATCCCCTCTATAGCCTCTTCCTCCCCAAGCCCCACCCCGCAAATCACCACACTGCTGTAATGCTTTAGAATGTAATGCTAACCATTTTATTTATTTATTTTTATATTTTAAATATATTTTTATTGATCTCAGAGAGGAAGGGAGAGAGATACAGAGATGGAAACATCAATGACGAGAGAGAATCATTGATTGGCTGCCTCCTGCATGCTCCACACTGGGATGGAGCCCACAACCCCAGGCATATGCCCCACCAAGAACCTAACTGTAACCTCCTGGTTTATAGCTCAACGCTCAACCCCTGAGATACTCCAGCCGAGCTAATGCTAACCATTTTAGATCTTGTGGATTATATAGTTGGCATTCCTAAATTCAATATTGCAGATTATGATAATAACATTTTCTTAATGAAATTTTCAATAATCACTACTGTTAACTTAGAGAAGTATATTAATTTATGAATTCTGATATTCCATTTTAGTAAAATAATTTCTTCACATTATTTGATCTTTATCTGTTTCAGCAGTATTTGATCTCTGTAAGCTCATCCTCATTGCTGTATTCAGAACAGTAGAACTGAAAATGAATCTAAAAATTTCAGTTCTAAACATAAGGATTTGAATCTTGGACCATCACACTTGATAATCAAATGAACATTTTCAGAAATATTCTGGCTATGTGGGTCTGGAACTAAACAAATCTTTGGAAGTAATTGGGGTTATATTGGAATCTGAAGTTAGCCAAAATATCTGAGATATAATTGCTATGTACTATTAAATGAAAAAAAAATATTCCAGTCGTTTTTTTTTATGTTGAAGAACTTAAGTATGTTATTTATTCATTGACTAAAAAACAAATCTGTCCTGAATTAAAAACAAATACATTGTTAAGATAATAGGAAATAGTATGAGATAGAAGAAAAGCAGTGAGAACAAGATTAGCAGAATTAGGTGTCAGAAAACCTGGTCCAAGACCAAATTCTGCAACTCCTATAAATGATCTCCTTTCTAATTAGAAAACTAAGGCTTGAGTCAAATGATCCATAAGGATCCTTTGAGAGTCTTAATACTACTGAAAGCTAGAATTCTTTAAATGGACAACATGTTTTTTATAATTCTTATTAGATAAGAGAGAGAATACGCAAAGACACAATATATTTTACATAAAAATTTTCCTGGGGGACAAAATTAATTGGCAGCTTATAAAAATGTTCCAGTTAACTAAAAAAAATTGTGCACCATAGACATTTGGTTTTGGACAACCTGTCACATAGCATTTCTCCCTTGCCCCATGCTGGGTGATTGTTTTAGAATTGACACCACCTACTGTATCACCCATATCATTTCCTGTAGCACCTGGGTTTTTCTTGGAATGTTTCCATTCAAAATGTAGATCATACCTGACCCTGATCTGTTTGCAAGTGCTGATATGATCATAGGCTGGGGTGCAGTGGCAATGGGCCACGGACACATAAAAGCACTTTTTCTGATAGTTACATCCAGGGTGATGTAATCAGGCGACTGGTCAATAACATATGACCAAATGGGATTTCTTAAAAAACAGAATTTTTTTAATGGTTTCCTGGTTGTAAATGAACTCACCAATTTCCAATTAGGATTGATTTGCGTCATAAGCCTTAACACTCAAGATCCTCATATTTTTTTTAATGTGCTATGAAATAGTGGAAAATTACAAATTGTCCAAATTCTGTGTACAGGAAGTACAAGTAAAGAAAAAAACATGATGACCAGAACATAGGAAGGACATTAAATAAAACTTGGTAAGCTGTGCTTGCTATTCCTGTACTAGTGCTGATGTTTTGAGAGAAAGAAGCTCATATCTTAGAGAGAAATCTGTAATTCTATGGGACGTACTTTTAACATTGCTCATGTGCTTTAACTATTTATCTGCTTAGCAATATTTTCATTAGGCTTAACAAGGTGAAGAGACTTAAAGTGTATTTTATTAAATGTGAGTAATCCATATTTGACACACAATCTTCTTTAAAATGATATATTTACATTGATTTGATTCTTTAAATAAGTTTAAAATTTTTACTGATTGTGTAAAACATAGTAGTTGTATATAGTTTTCAAATATTTAGCATTCTCTTTTTATGAAGAGATAAATAAAAAAGCATCCTGATTTTTCTATCTATTTTCTTAGAGATAAGGATATCCTTTTCTTCTTTTTTTAAAATAGATTTTATTGATTTTTTACAGAGAAAAAGAGAAAGGGATAGAGAGCTAGAAACATTGATCAGCTGCCTCCTGCACACCTCCTACTGGGGATGTGCCCACAACCAAGGTACATGCCCTTGACTGGAATCGAACCTGGGACCTTTTAGTCTGCAGGCTGATGCTCTATCCACTGAGCCAAACCAGTTAGGGCATATCCTTTTCTTCTTTTTGGTTACATGAAAGAACGCAAGCAGGACAGAGCAGTACCTACACTCTTTAATGAAAGATCACCAGGAGCACACTTCTTTAATTAAACACACTCAGTTTAGTACTTGTTGCAGCAGGGAGAACACTGTGGGACAAGGCCCACCACATTATAGAGGGTGATCTTAATTCAAAGTCTACTGATTTAAATTTTAAGACTATCTGCCGAAACCAGTTTGGCTCAGTGGATAGAGTCGGCCTGCGGACTGAAGGGTCCCGGGTTCGATTCCAGTCAAGGGCATGTGCCTGGGCTGCGGGCAAATCCCAGGTGGGAGATGTGCAGGAGGCAGCTGATCAATGTTTCTCTCTCATCAATGTTTCTGACTCTCTATCTCTCTCCCTTCCTCTCTGTAAAAAATCAATAAAATATATTTAAAAAAAATTTTTAAGACTATCTAAAATATATACCTTTTTAGTCATGTGTATCAACTGGTTTTTGACCAAACAACCAGCATCTGTTCAAGTTGACATTTAAAATTAATCAACACAAGTGGTAATCATGGAGTGTCTCAGTAAGAAGGTGTTGAAAAGAATCTGTCGTAGAAATTTGGGGAGTTTTTTGGGTGATTTAGGAAGCAGCCGTGGTGGGGGTGGTGCTGTAAATTGGATGCTGGGAGAAAGTGGTTTCTCAATGCATTTTATTTGTAGGAAAAAAAGACTTGAATGAGGATAAGGCTGTGATGGGTAAAGAAGAGTGAGCAGTCAGTCACTCATTTTAGCCAAAATAAGGGGATGTTTGGTATTTTGTGGTTGGAACAGTGACCTTGCTTTTGACTGGACTTAGGTAAAATGATGAACTAGCCTTGTTTTGTCTTACTGTGTCATGGACTCAGAGTAACCTAGTCTCGGTTGGTACTCTATGAGATTATTTTTGCTCATTAGGAGAATTGCATGGCTTAGTGGTATTAGGCCTGATTCTGAAGGTCAGAGGCTTGTTCTTTTTTCTTTTCTTTCTTAACAATTGCATGACTTTTTCTGCTCTTCACTTCTAATTACCTGAGAGAAGTTGTTTTGTTTGCTAAATTCTCAAAATTTACATATATGTTATATGGAACCTGGTATAGAGTGAACCTTTTGTTTTATACTTTATATGTTATATGGAACCTGGTATATGAGGGAATATTTTAGTTTCCACCCTCACCTGCCCTCAGTTTTCCCTAGTCTATAGCTGCCCTCTAGGTATGGCCTGACACTGTGGATTCCTACCCCTACCATCCTATATAATAAAGAGCTAATATGCAAATAGTCATCACACCCTCACATCCTCATGCCCTTGTGCCCTTAAGCCGGGGCCGGGGGACCAGAGGCCGGGCCAGGGGACCTGGTGGGGCTTGACGGGGGAACTGAGGCTGTGCCCCTTGCACAGTGGAGCTTTATGGGGGACCTGAGGCAGCGCTCCCCACTCTGGTGTCAGGCCGGGGGACCTGAGGCCGGGCTGGGGGACTTGAGGCTGTGCCTGGGGACCTGAGGTCACGCCCCCCACCCAGCGCCGAGCTGGAGGACCTGAGGCCGCACCCCCTCATGGTGGGGCTTCATGGGGGACCTGAGGCCATGCCCCCCCGCCCTGTGGGGCTTGACAGGGGTGGGGTTGGCCAGGTCTGAGTCTTGTGCGATTTAGAGGCGTACATGGGTGGACTTGATTCTGGGTCCCACAGCGTGCCCCAGACTCTGACAGGAGGGAGATTTTCATAAACATTTTACTAATTTTCTTTCATCTCTGACACTTCTATTATAGAGAAAGGGCAAATAGCAATATTAAAATATTTCCT